GGGCGGGGCGGGGTGGAGAATGTGATCTGAAATGCGTTGTAATTGCTTGACTGCGGGCGCTACGATGGTCCGCTATGGTGTGGTGAGGTGAGGTGTGGTAAGGTGGGGTGCTGCTCGTCTGAGGTGCGACAGGTTGATACGCGCGGGGGGGGTGGTGCAGTGGGGCAATGTTCTCTCGACATTAGCATCTGAGCTAATCACACGCCAGGCCGGTGACCGCTGCCGTCCTCTGCCGTACAAAGGATGCCGTACACTTATTTTCGTGCTTTCCTCTTCCAGGTTGCTGACGTGGAGGGCAAGCTGCCGCCCAAGGTGCCGGTTGTTGTCAAGGCGGCTATGACGCCGTACCAGGCAAGTGCCGTACATCCAGGCACGGGTACAAGCCCAGGTTTCGGCCCTTGCATCCCACCGCGTATTCCCCGCCTGACCCCCCCCATTTCGCTGCCTTGCTCGCTCTCTGCCTCAGGACCGTGAGAAACCCGGGGGCCGTACTCCGTCCCCATATCCCCCCTTTCTCTCCCTCTCTCCCCGCCTCTCTCCCCGCCTCTCTTACTGCCCGCCTCTCCCTCTCTTTACCCCTCTCTTTCTCCCGCTTCCAATCGAAAGCGCCTTTCAACCATGGCCCTCCCTTTTCCCCTCGGCACACGCAAACACACACGAATGCATGCCCAAATACATACGTACATACACATACACATACTTACAAACACACGCAGGCCGCGTGTTACAACTGGATCAAGGCCAGCAGCACCATTCGCCTCCATCCGGACCATCCACTGCGGCTCAAGGTGAGAGGGAGAGAAATGGAAAAGAGGACACAGACGAACATACGGGCATACATTGGGAAAGTCGCGCGCACGCACATGCAACGTGGCAAAAGCATGGTGGCCGTTAGACGGGGTGGCGACCACAAGGGCCTAGGTGGACTAGTACTACGACCGCCCCCCGCACCGCCCCCCTCACCACCTCTCCAGAGTCTTGACGTTGCGTCCCCCCTTTTTTTTCCTCACTTCACTCGTTCGTGGCTCGTCTTTCCCCCCTTTTTTCCTTGCCCTTTCATCTTTGGTCACAGTAAGATTTCCCTGCAGCATTTATCTTCTCCTGAACTACCCGTCTTTGGTATCTCGGCTCCATTTCCAAAATGGGGCGCCAGTGGTTCGTCTTACCCTTCCTCCCCCCCGCCCTCCTTTTCCCTCTCTCCCGCCAGAAAAACCAAGACTGGACTCCGCTCACTAACCGCGGCACTGAGCTGCGCAAGGTGTGCAACCACCCGCTCATTTCCTACCGCATGGACGAGGCGTGGGGGGGAGGGCCCGAGGTGCGTATGTTTCGTGTGTTTCATCTGCATGCGTGTGTGCGGCATATGAAGTCAAAACCTTGTGTACCACCTCCATCATCGGCATTTCCCTCATCGCGGCTCCGAAGATCATTACACACACATACACACACACGCACGGGGCACATCTCAGATCAGGTTAACACAGAGGCAGACAGACAGACAGACAGATAGATTGATAGATAGACAGACAGACAGACAGACAGACAGACAGACAGACAGACAGACAGACAGACAGACAGACAGACAGACAGACAGACAGACAGACATACATACATACATACATACATACATACATACATACATACATACATACATACATACATACATACATGTCCAGATCGCTTTCAAAACACACACACACCCACACACCCGTCACCCGCACATACACACTTCCCGCCTCTCAGGTCCTGACTCAGTGCGGCAAGATGATGGTTCTGGACCGGCTGCTGGTCAAGTTCTTCTACAGCGGCCACCGGGTGCTGCTGTTCTCCACAATGACCAAGTTCCTGGACCTCATGGAGGTGTACCTCATGTGGCGGCAGCTGCCTAACGGCCGCAGAATGCTGTTCAGGTAGTATTGCATCATCGCACCGCATCGATTGCGCGCGCGGAGCGGGGGGCGGGGGGGGGGGGATGTGGGTTAGGCCGACGGTCGCGCCGGGGAGTCCCTCTCCCTCCTCCCTCCCTCCCTCCCTGCCTGGCTGGCTGGCGGCCCTGGCTGCCCTGCCCTGGCACAGTCCCCCAAATGGCCACCCATATCCCAGCCGCCAGCATGGCGCCATCACCCCACACGCCCACCACCTTCATACGCACTCACGGGGCATATCTCACCCACACCCGCACTCGTTCCCACATATGCGCAACCATGCTGTGGTGTGTAGTGGTGGTGGTGGGTTTTGGAGTACTGATGATGGCTGTGTGTGTGTGGTGGGGTTGGTTGAACTTCTGGTGTCTGTCTTGCTGTGTTGCTGTCAGGCGCATCGATGGCTCCACGCCGCTGGAGATTCGCGAGGACGCCATTCGCGACTTCAACCGACCCGACAGCGACATCTTCATCTTTTTGTTGTCCATCCGAGCGGCTGGACGAGGACTCAACTTGCAGGTACGGGGTGCGGAGGGCAATCCTTCGTTGCTTCCTTGTAACTCCCGTTATGCCGTACGCGTACGGCGTACGATGTACGGCGGCCCGGGCAATCTAGGGAGGAGTGGTTGGGGGCGAAGTGTTTGGGGGGGGGTGCCGATGTTGCACGGGCAATGATGGCGTCGTTGGCTGATGGCCCGGATATAGAAAGAAAGGGGGAAGGGAGGACATGTTGTAAAATGTACAAGATGTCTTGCCAGCCCGCTGCAGTACACCTTTCACCGTACACTTTGCCGTACACCCTGCCGTACACTGCAGACTTCCGACACGGTCATCATCTATGACCCCGACCCCAACCCTAAGAACGAGGAGCAGGCCATCGCGCGCTCCCACCGCATCGGCCAGACGAAGGAGGTTCGGGTGGTTCATTTTGAGGCAGTGGCGGACGAGGCCGACTACATGCTACATGCCATGGCTCAGATTACGGGGAGACCTCTGCCGTCAGAGCTACAGCCGCGCCAGCAGCAGCAGCAGCAGCAGGGGGATGGGACCGGCGGCGCGGACGGAGGCGGCGGAGGTGGCTGCGAGGCGGTGGCAGTGGTGAGTGTGCGCGCGTGTGTATGTGTATGTACGTATGTGTGCGCGTGTATGAGCGTAACTGACTAACACCATTAAGAACTGAACAACCAACTCACCCCTCAGGTGTGTGCCTCCCCTTTCTCCTCTTCCTCTCCCCACTCTTTCCCCCCCACACACCGAACGTCGAGCTGGGGGTCCCCCCCTCACGCTCCCCTGTCTTGCTCCACCCCACCTTCACAACCAACTAACCAACCAACCGAAAGTAACCAACATTAACGTGGTGATGCCTTGGGGTGACTCCTTGGGGTTGTGTGGTTGGGTGACTACGTGTTGTGTTTTGGCCCCCCGCCCCCGCCCCCGCCCCCGCCCCCGCCCCCGCCCCCTGATGGTGTTTTGTGTTCCGGTGGTGGCAGGTGGGTCCTTACGGCGAGCTGCCACCCGCCTCGGAGCGCAAGTACGTGGAGAGCGTCGAGTCTATGGTTCGCAACATCATTCAGAAGAAGAAGAACGACATGGCCAACGAGATTATTGACGCGGGTCGCTTCGATCAGACCACCAGCATGGAAGAGCGGAGGGCCAATTTGGAGGCACTGCTGCAGGTGTGACGTCTCTCTCTCTCTCTCTCTTGTGTGTGTGTGTGTGTGTGTGTGTGTGTGATGATGGGGGGGTAAAGAAGGGGTAAAATGCAATAAGGGGGGAAAGGGAAAGAGGTAAAGAAGCGTTGCTGTGTGCTGGTGATTGTTTGTGCTAATTGTGTTTTGTCGTACGTTCCTGCAGGACGCTGAGCGGCTCAAGGTGGCTCCCACGGAGGTTCAAACCAACCAACAACTGAATGAGGCCATTGCTCGCACGCCCGAGGTGTGCTCGTGGATATGCGGGATGGGGTGGGGTGGGGTGGGGTGGGGTGGGGCTGCACGTCGTGCAACGCCACTTCTTTCCCGCCGCCGTCGCCGCCGCCGCCCCCTCCTCCCGGGCTCGTTCGCTTGTCTTGCTTCTTGATTGCTTAACTCGATTGTGCTGTTCCCCTGTTTCGTACGGCGCCGACCTGTCCTTTCCTAACCAGTCTCTTCGCGTCCCGCCCACCCACCAGCCTCAATCCCCCTTTCCTGCCCGTCCGCTTTCCCCCCACCATTCCTCCCCCACCATTCCTCCCCCACCCACCATTCCCCCCCACCCGGCCCCGTGTCCGTCCCAGGAACTGGATTTGTTCAATCGTCTGGATGAGGACCCCGCTTTGGGCTGGGTGGAGGCACCGGCGAGTGCCCTCATGGTGTGTGTGTGGGGGGGGATGGCCCGCCTGTGAGAGCGACAGGGAGGGAGGAGACAGGGAGAGGTGGGGGGGAGGGGGGAGGGAGGGAAGCCGGTGGGGCCCCGCTGCGGCTCTGTTGGTCATGCAGCCAGCCCGGTGATTCGCGCCTCGCTCGCTTCATGTGATGACTTCCGCCCTCCCTCTTTTTACACATTGTCCTACATTATTATTTGTCTAGATTCTTTGGAATATCCGTCTTTGTTTTTTTCTTTTCGTCAATCGCTTGTCCTTCTTCGTGGTATCCCCCTCCCTTCCCGTGCCGCCTGGCCAGTATCCGCCTATTCCCTCAGTTTCCGTCTACCCCTTATGTGTGGTTCGTCTTCCCCCTTCTTCCCTCCCCGCTTCACCATCCGCCGCCGCCAATGCCCCCCCCTCCCCGGGGGTGTTGCGGTCCCCTGTTTTCCGGCCTACTTATACGACATGACCGCAGGTCCCCGACTGGCTTCGATACACTTACGAGCAGATGGAGGAGGCGAAACGATTGAACGCCAAGAAGCCCGCGCGCACAGGTACTTGAAGCGCCATTGCTTTTGTCTTGAACGTGGGGATGGTCCCACCATGGGGTGATGTTGACGATGATGATGAGGAGGAGGAGGAGGAGGAGGACAGGAGAGTCGGGGTGCGTGTCCAGTGTCGAAAGGGGAAGAGAGTTGGGTTTTGCGGGGGGGCCGATGTAAGGCGGGTGACGCGGCGGCTCAGGTACGGCAGGTACGACGGCCGCATGCTGTGGGATGGCAATCAACTCGTGAGGTGTAGGTGAGGTGAGGTGTGGACAGGGTTGTGGGGTGCAGGGAGCAGCGGAGGCGAGTAAGGGAGTAAGGGAGCTGTAAGATTTTATACTTAGGGGCAACAGGGGGAAACTGGAAGGGACCTTTAGGGGCGTTGTATCTTCAGGGTCACGTCATTTGGGTGTCAAGTCGGGTTGGTCCAATAATACTCTGCCACGACAGGGATTCTGGCAGAGCGGAAGGTGCCTGGAGTGCCTGGCCGTGGTCGGGGGCGGGGTCGCGGCCGCAGCGCCGCCGCTACGGTCGCCGCTGGCAGTGGCGGCCGCGGCGGCGCCGTCACGGCGCCTCGTGGCCGCGGCCGTGGCCGTGGCCGGGGTCGTGGCCGCGGGCGCGGCCGCGGCGCCGGCGTCTCCGCCGGCGGTGGCGGTGGTGGCGGTCGGGGTCGCGGTCGGGGCCGGGGCCGCGGCGCGGCCGCGTACGATGACTTGGAGCTCTTGGACGATGAGGAGGAGGCGGTCGCGCTGGCGGCGGAGATGGAGGAGGAGTTGGCGGCGGATGACGCAGATGAGGAAGATGCAGAGATTGACTTGGCGGTGGATGAGGACGAAGCGGATGTGGAGGCGGAGGTTGAGGCAGAAGAGGATGAAGAGGGGTTGGCGCCCCCGCCGCCGCACGCGACGGCGGATGCGGCCGCCGCTGGCGGCGTCGGCGGCACCGCCGCTACCGCCACCAAGGTTGCCGGAGGCTCCAGCGGCGTGAAGACCACAGCAGTAGCACCGTCTGCGGCAGCGGCGGCAGCGGCACCGTCGGCGGCGACGGATGGGGACACGGAGATGGGCGGCGGCGACGGCGACGGCGACGGTGACATCTACGGTGACGGCGACGGTTTCGGAGATGATGTCACCGTCGCTGAGACCGGTGCTGACACTCGTGACGACGAGGGAGAGGTGAGGGTGTGGTGGGCAGTTGCGCGAGCGGCAGGATAGGCAGGAGTGCTGCCTGCGAGCCCGGCTAA